GATCCAGTCATGCCTGAAGTCAGCATTTATCCCCTGACTTCAGAACTACTTGAGCTTCTATATTTCCTTTGTTTAAGCCAGTTCAAGTTTAGTTTTGTCATTTGCAACTAGTTACACTGTATCTAAGGCCAAGACCTTGCCCCTGACTCCAGACCACGTCTACCCGCCTCCTGGACAGTGTCATTCTGCTCTGCCAAAAGCTAAGGGCATCAATGTCTCCCCAGCTTGGCTCCCCTGTTCTGTTTCCATCTTTGTTGATGGAAGCATCACTCACCTGACCTGAAAACATAACAAACCTCTGTTCTCTATTTCCTTTCTCTCTCTGTCTCTCTGTGTCTCTTCTCTCTCTCTCTCTCTCTCTGTCTCTCTCTCTCTCTCTCTGTATGTGTGTGTCTTTCTTTCTCCCTCTCTCCTTTCTCTCTCTATCTCTGTCTCCCTCTTTCTTCTCTCTCTCTCTCACACACACACACATACATTCACACATTCACACACTGCCCTCACTTCTTAGCCTCCAAGACCTACCAGCTTCATTTGGTGGACATTGTTCACACCTGTCCCCTCCCTTCTGTTTCTCCCGCCCACTCCAACCCTCCATTATCTCTCGCTGAGATTATTACAGAAACAATAGACCAATACAGAGCTGCATAGAATAAAGGGAATTTCCTTCCACCCTCACCCCCAGCCACCCTCCCCAAGGTATCAAGGCAGTTACTGTTACTTCCTTTCTGTCTGTCCTCCCAGAAGTTCTCAACATGTGCCACTTTTGCAAATGCAGGCATATTATCAAGCCTTTTCAGAACATTGCATTTTTCTTCACTGATCTTGAACACCAATTCCTTTTCTTTTCTTTTTTCTTGGAGTCAGAGTCTCACTCTGTCGCTCAGGCTGGAGGACCATAGCATAATCACGGTCACTGCAGCCTCGACTTGCTGGGCTCAGGAGATCCTTCTGCTTCAGCATTCCAAGTAGCTGGGACTACAAGTGTGCGCCACCATGCCCAGCTAATTTTTTAAAAATTTTTTGTGGAGATGCAGTCTCGCTATATTTGCAGGCTGGTCTCAAACTCCTGGGCTCAAGCACTCCTCTCACCTCAGCCTCCTAAGGTGGTAGAATTATAGGCGTGAGCCACTGTGCCGGGCTGAGCCTTTAGTTTTGAGCTGCAGGAGTTCCTCTCTCACACACTCAGACAGTTAAATGAGTGAGTGGTGCATGTAAAGCACTTAAGCCCTCTGCACATATCATATATTTGCTACCATCATTAGTCTGTGTTCAGTAAATATTTACTGAGTTGCCGCCTCAGCACCAAGCACTATGGAAGGCTTGCAGGCATGACAGTGGACAAGAAAGAGGCGGGCCTGTCTCGCAGAGCTCATTCATCCCTGTGTCCCCAACCCTAGCACAAGGAGAAACAGAATGGATGCTCAAGGCATGAAGGTCTGTTTGTGCCTGGTGCCCAATGAAGTTCAGAGAAGTACAGTGACTTTTCCAAGACCACACAGTAAATGTGGCACAAAACCAAGGCTGAGCACACATGACAAGATGCGAAGTAGGTGCAGCTGCCTGGCAAAGGCTGACTCTCTGGGGAGACAGCCAGTTGGCACATGCTGCCCAGGGTGGAACTGGGGAGAGATCTGGAGGGAACAAGGGTTACTGTCCCACTAGCTCCTTCCAAAGTGGAAAGGGTGAGTCGCTTCTCTCCCAACGCCCTGACCTCTGTTCCCCCCTTCTCTAGGTCAGGGAACTGATCCTTAGCAAGGGGTAGGGACTAGAAGGAGTGAGGCTGGGGGGCTCCGTGAGAATGTGGGGGGCTTCAGTGGATATTGCCGCTCCATGTAAGTGGGAAGGCACTTGCTGGCCAGGCCCAGAGAGAGGGACTCAAAGATGGGGGGGACTGGGGAGTCAAGTGTTGGAGGCCCTTAGAGGGCTGGGACCCTGTGGAGAGGGAGGGAGCCGGGAGACGCGGTTTCTGTGCAGGTCTGGGGTCTCAGGCAGGATGGAACCCCCCCCCAGAAGACTGAAGATCCACTGAGGAGGCCAAGGCTCGGTGAGGGGTGGTCTTCAGTAAGAGTGTGGGCACTGAGGGAGGATCACTAACACAGTAGTGAGTGATCAGAGCTTCGGTGAGGAGTTCCAGGGGTGCGTGAGGGGGTGGGGCCCAGCGAGGAGGCGGAG